TTTCTCTTTTAGCTTTCTGAGCATTTTTAGAACAAATATTTTTAATTATTTGTCAGACATTTCCTGGATCTCTTTTTGAGGCCTGATCCAGGGCCAAAACCATCTGTAGGTCCTCCATCTGTCAATGTGCTCATTGTGGCTGCATATGCTCCCCTCCCACAAGGCATGTGCACTACAATGGAGTCCAATGACAGGTGTCAGGCATACAGTTTGAGGGGCGAGGTTTGAGCATAGGCATGGTGTAATGGTTCATCTGGGAGTCATAGATAGGTGACCTGAACTCATGAAGCTGCAGCTCTAGCTGGCTACATGTACTGCTCCTGGGCTTTGGTAGAGGAGGGGATTATCTCAGGTCACTGGCATCTTATATTTGCATAGCTGCAGATACCTTGGATGGCTACTGGTGTGGTTCCCAACTTCCAGCAGCAGGGTGTGTTGGAGGGAGTGTTGAGGGATTCAAGCATTGGCTTCAATGAATGAGAAGACCTATGGGGCAAAAGCTAGCAGAGATCCATATGAATTTGCAGCTACTGTGCTGGCCATTGGCCTCATCAGTGGGAATACCTGCTGAATTCATCTGTGAACTGCAATCCTGTGGCTCTCTGTTTGCTCTTAATAGCCTCTGCTTTTCTGGCCTTTTGAGGTGCCTCAGTATGTTTCAGCTTTGCTGGTCTGGGTGGGATGAAACTGAAGCAGGACCTTTGTGCATTGCCCTGAGATGCTGGAGAAACTGATCACTTTCTCCTCTCTTCCTTTCTTGGCAAGAGAAACTCTTTCTAGCTGGGAAGATTCTTCTTGGTACTGAACAATGCTGGTTTGAGGAATGGGATGATGCAGACAAAATAAAGTTGTTTTCCTTCTCTTCTTGTGTGATTTTTCTCAAGTTTTTTGTTTGTTTGCTTGTTTCACTGTGTTGCTAAAACTTTCTAAGTGGACTCTACTGGTCTCTCAGAGACATTTTTGTTCACAGATAACTGTCCACTTGTTGATCTTTGTTGGGGGATGGGGAAGCCGGATTCTTATACATCGGCATTTTTTCCACTTAGTTTTTTACTCTGGAATCTACTTTTTATGGTTCTTAGTTCAGGTCTAGACCATGGCTTAAATTTAATTTCCATATCCTCTGTGTATCAATATTAAACAGGTATTGAATTATTAGATTGGTAGTTTCTACGGGGAGACCTTGAAGGAAAATTAATTTCTATAGGAATTTGGGGAAGCTAGCAGAGAAAACAGAGACTGTATGTAGTAGTATCAAAGCAAGGTAAAAAATTACAGGCACAAGGAGGATATATTTTAGAGTGATTTTAGATTTTGCTAGAGAATATTTGAGGGATGCAATTTGGGGATCAGCATTTTGTTTTAAAGTTTTAGGATATCAATAATAAAGACTAATCCTTGAATATTTCACAGTTTCCCTCTCTTCTGTTCTCAAGCTCTTTGATGTATTATCTTTAATGTGTCAAATTTCCCCATTAATGCTAATATAATTCTAAATTATCTTTGGTGAAGTGTACTGGTTAAGCATCTGTGGAGCCTCCAGCTAAGAATTAGGATTAAATTGAGAATGTATTCAGCAAATTCTGTCAGGTGCGTGTTTTAGTTGTAGAAAGATCAATTTCTAGCACATAGTTATGATAGTGTCTATATGATATTAGACTGCTTCTCAGCCTTTTAATTGTTTTCCTCAATACTATGCAGCTAAGAGCACAGAAACATTTAAACTCAAATATGGAAACATGGTATGGAGATTTCCTATGTTAAAGTGATATTGATTTTAAACAAGACAGACTGTCTTTCCAAGAACTCATAGCATAATGTGTCACTTTAGTGAATGAACATCAATGTAATGGGATCATCTTACATGCTTTTCCTCAGGGCTGGGCTAGACAATTACTTAGAGCATCTGTGTCATTGTCTGAGTCCTTAAAAGTTTCTTTTAAAGCATTCAATACAGAGTCAAACATCATAAACAACAGAAAAGACAACCAATTCCATAACTTGATTAATGAAAGCAGTGGCATAGGAAGTCCTACCCACCCTCTTTTTTTTTAAACCAAAGAATGGAAGTTTTTTTTTTTAAATCTCAGACTTAACTTCACCTTAAAATTTTCAGAGCGTCCATCAAAACACACAGGGCTGTACAATGACCTAATGATCACAATCAGAATACAGAGGCAGTACAATGAAAAGTAGTTCAGCATTTCGAATTGTCCCTGGAGGTACTTCCCAGGATGGAATTTGAACACAAAGGGCTCAAGGAGTGTACAGTTCTGTTCTGTAATGTGATGGACAGTTCCAGTGAACAAGACAGACAAGAGTCCTCAAGGTATTTTCAGTAGAAGACCAATAGGCAACTATAATTCACTTAAACTGAAAAACAAAAAGGTGAATCCATTTAGAATTCTTGCCTAGACAATGAGAAAACAGCAAAAGTAAAGTTAACTTCTCACTAAATATAGAAAGGAATAAGATTTTGTAGAGACAATACCATGCTATGTCATATTTGAGCCTGAGGTGAAGGGGAAAATCTACACCCTTATATTTATCTTCTTTATTTGAGCTAAGTGGGAAAATTTAATAAAAGTTCTATTAATAACAAAAGCTACATGATTTAATAATACATTGTATGTATATTGAATTGTGTGTTCACCACCCAAAGTTAAATTTCCTCCTGTCACCATATATTTGACCCCCTTTTACCCTATCTACCTCTGCCCTGCCTCCTTCCCCTCTGATAACCACTAAACTGTTGTCTGTGTCTATGAGTTTTTTTGTCTTGTTCATTTGTTGCTTTCAGTTTTTATATTTTACATATAAGTAAAATCATATGATTCTCAACTTTTTCTGTCTTATTTTGCTTTGAACAATAATCTCAGGGTACATGTATATAATGGAATATTACTCAGCCATAAGAAAAGATGAAATAGTGCCATTTGTGACAACATGGATGGATCTTGAGAAGTGGATGCTTATATAATATTCTTGAGCATTGGAGTCAGTGTCACCAAATGCTGGACACTGGGTCTCCTTACTCATAAATAGAAACATAAATAACCTCCTACCTTCATCATAGTCCTGCTCTGGTAATAAAATGTTGTGGGAAGGCTCCATGAGTAATAAAATACAAAGAATTAACAAGTAGGGTGAACAATTACATAAAAGTCCACAAAATAAATACCTTTCTTCTAGCAATTCTTGGCAGTCATATAGGAAACAAAATAAAACAGAAACAAACAAAAATATCCCCACACAAAAACCCCTCAGTTTTTGACTTTTACTTGGCCTTACCAAGTAAAAAATGCATCTTCTTGATACCACTACTTTCTCAGAATCTCCTTCAAGAGCACTCCCACCCATAGCAGGTCATTGCAGTTCTTGATATGACCAGCTTTTGGCATTGTCTGTTCAAGAATGTGTACCTCCTCCTTCCCCCCTAGGGTTCTGAGAACCACAGTAACTTCAGTGCTGCTGTGATACGTTCTGTCCTTAGATGTCTCAAATTTAACTTCCAGTCATTCTTTTGTTGTTCTTTTGGGTTTTGTGGTGACCTCGGTTCAAAGCCCGCCAAATAGAGGCAAGGATAGGAAAGTTAATACTATATATACTTAAATTTCTTGGGCCCTGGGAGAATTAGGTGACAGAACCACAGCAGACATAGTTCTGAGAGAAAAAGAAAATTCTGGCCAGAAGTGGGTTCACCAGGGAAGCAGGCCTTGGGAATCAAGAAAACAATACAGAAGTACCTGCCATCCTGAGTCTCAAAAGTTGAGCTGGAAAGGCCATGGGAGAGGATGTTGGGTTGTTCAGAGTGGTGAATTACTGATGTGCTTTCCCAAGCCACTCATAGGACCCTCCAGTGGATTGGAAAAGCTGTTCCAATAGCACAGTAAAGCAGGATTTTATGCAAAAAACAATGACCTGTCCTTATTTAAAATTTAGTGTTTTATTCATCAGGATTTTTTCTTGCAATTCAGTTTGATTTTTTAAAAACAATATTGTACTAAGATGTTATTTGATTATCAAGTTTTTGTCTTCCTACCCCTTTTTTCCACCATCCCAGCCCTGGGCCTGTATAGAATTTGGGGGAATTGAGAAGTTAAATTAGATTTAGTCAAAGCAGTTTTTTGGTTGGAGCAAAGCGAACAGAGGCTAATTACTTATTGGGTTAGTTCAAAAGTAAGTCTTTTCAAAAGATGGAAAATTGATGAAGGTGGATTCTGCTCACAAACTTATTTTGACTGTTTTCTTGCATACTGTATAGGTATGGATTTTATCTTTCAGAAGAAAGAGTGAAATTTATAATGTTCTCCAGCTATGAAAATGTGTGAATTAATAGTGGTGACAACCAAAGATCTATTCTTATTCCATGTGATTAACATGATCAACACAACCCACCTCTAAATCACGAAGTCAAAATAATGAGAGATTTGAATTATTCCTTTTTTTAAGTTAGACATAACTAAATATATAAAAGGGTTAAAGTAGATAAATATTGATCTTCCTAATTTTAAAGTTCAATAATTCTTATTTAGTCATCGTTAGTATACTTGGGAACAGAGATGAGGAATCTAGTGTGGAATAAGAAGAGTTAAATCCAATTTTCTTTGAGCTTCTAATCAGAATTGCATTATAAATACTGTTTCTCTCCTATTTGGAATAAAAGCAAACTATTTTTTCTCATTGGGTGGGACACTAAAGCAGAAAGTAAACACTTTAGCAGAAAAAGAGAGGGCCATGGCTGCTCATTCTTCTAACAATATGGAGGTATTTAAATAATGTTGCTATTTACTTTATCTTCTCTTTGGTACAGAAGAAAGTCTACCAGTCTTCAAATGAAGGGATCCCTTTTTAATCCTAGATCTATCCCCAGCAACTATTTAGTGCTAGGTAATTATAAACCTCTCTAGGGATCACATTATAATTTCTAGAGTGAGTCTATGATTTCTTCAATGGTGATTGGAATTACATATTGTAACTTACTTTTTTTTTCCTTTTAGCTTCTAGAGGTGCTTCGTTTACTTGTTTCGATGAAATAAATTCAAGAGGTGATAGATATGGAAACTGTGGTGCAGACTATTGTGCTTTTTCGTATGTATTTGGAAAATTCTAATTTTGTTTGGATTGCGGGATTATATATGGCTAAGATCCTGGAATATATTATCATGTACACACTAAAATGGCATTTTGTACCAGGTTTTTTTTTGTTTCATGATCTGAGCAGAACAGTATTACCCATTATCTGCAAATAACATGTCTTCAGGGCCTATAATGTTACAACAACAATGGCCATAAAAATTGCCTTTATTTATTGTGATGAACTAGACATTGTATTAGGTAGTTTATATATGTTATCAATATATATTTATATATATCAAACACTTGTAATATGAAGTATTTATCCCTTGTTACTATTAAAAATTGAAGACCAGTGGCCATTTGTTTGAATATCAGAAGCTAATACAGGACAGATCAGGCCCATCAGATTGCAAAAATCATTAATTTTTCTTTTGCCACATTGCCTCACAAAACAGAAAAAGCCACATCATACGTAAGTTGCTGGGCTCCAAAAAATGTTTGAAACCTGGATTTAAGTTAGTAAAATACCTTTTTAACTTAATTATATCAGCAATCTATGTTATTTCAGTAAATAATAAGAGAAATTTTTTTCTGCCTTATGCTTCTAGTAATCTTCTGTGTGGAAAATTAGTTTGTGCCTGGCCGCATAAAGCATTAGTATCACGTGCAAATTTATCTGTGATTTACACACATATACGAGAGGATATATGTGTATCTACATTTCTACACCCAGGCAAGCTTAAATATACAAAAGCTGAAGACAGAGATGAAACATATGTACAAGATGGCAGTGCGTGTGGTCCTGAGATGGTAACTAGAACTACAGAATTTCAAGTGTTTAAAAAATTTTTTTATGGTTATACTCATTTTGACAATATAAGAACCAATGTATTTTTAAACAACCTTACTGAGGTATCGTTTACCATAAAATTTACCTATGGTAAGGGTACATTTCATTGTTATTGATTAATTTACAGAGATATATACCACCATCACCACATCCAATTTTAGAACATACCATCATCACCCTCTCCCTCTTGCCTGTTTTGCCCATGCCCACCGCTAAGCAACCTACCCATTTTTCCCTATTATTAACATCTAACAATAGTATACATTTGTCATAACCAATGAGCCAATGTTGGTACATTATTATTAACCAAATCCCATACTTCATTCAGATTTCCTTAGTTTTTACCTAATGTTCTATTCCAGGATTTCACCCAGGGTACCGCATTGCATTTATTAGTTGTATATCCTTAGGGTCTTCTTTCTTGACAGTGACAGTTTCTCATAATTTCCTTGTTTTTGATGGTCTTGACAGTTTTGAGGAGAACTGGTGAGATATTCTGTAGAATGTCCCTCAGTTAGGATTTGTCTGATGTTTTACTAGGTTTATGTGTTCTTGGGAGGAAGATCACAGAGGTAAAGTGCCCTTTCATCATATCATATTATGTATACATACTATTGATGTTAACCATGATCACTTGGGTAAGGTAATGTTTGTCAGATTTCTTACTGTAAATTATTCTTTTTTTCCCCTTTCTATATTACACTTCAATGAAAGAAGTTACCATGCCTAGCCCACACTTAAGGAGTAGTAAGTTATAGTCCACCTTCTCATGGGTTCAGTATGTACATAAATCATTTTGAATTCTGCATGGAAAATTTATTCATTCTTCTCCATTTATTTATTCAGTCATTCATTTGTTACAGTGTGGACTCATGACATTTATGTTACAGTCTGGGTTATAATCCAGTACTACTTTATTTATTTCAGTGTTCAAATTGTTGTAGCTTTGGCCATTGGGAGTTCTCTAGTTGGCTCCTGCATCTCTTTGACATACCCTTATCATTGTGGGATTTGTTTTTTTCTTTTTGAGTACTTCCTTACTTTCTGGAATCATAAGCTGTTCATTGTATGTTTCCTGCCTAAGTTCCTAGAATTTGCCATTATCCCAGGAGACTTGGTTCATTTTAATTGGAAATGGTATTTAAAAATCATGATCTAGGTGCTAATTGTGCTTTTTTTGCTACTGTAATGTCGCTCCTTATGGCCCCATCAACAGACAGAGCTAGGAAATACATATCTACATAATATTTATGTATACGTATATATGTACATATTTATGTATATATATTCACATTAACTGTATACATGTGTATGTGTGTGTGTATTCATATAAATACATTAAAAAGCATGAGATTCATTCTAGACTCCTACCTTTTCATATTTGTAATTGTTTTCTTTGACAGTGACACACTTTTTTCCTTCTTTTCATGTATATATTGTTTCATTCTAGAATGTATTTAGAATACCCATTAAGTTATTTCAGAATGGCTAACTCATTCTATTGTGAAAAAAATACTAATTAGGATTCAATATTTGCTTTTAGTTCTTTTTGCCTTTAGCCTGATATATATATACAGATATATATCAATAAAATATGAATAAAGTATATATATACTTTACTGAATATATGAATAAAGTATATATATATATATTTGAATGAAGTATATATATATATACTTTATTCAAGAGTTATTTGGGTTAATTCGTTCTCCCTGCCAATGTGGTTAGATTATTCATTTGAAAAACAGTAGGCTGTGGGATTTTCTCCTGTCTTTGTTAATTTAATTTAATTTTAGTTTTTGAGATGTGAAATATAAACATTTTTAAAGTTCAAAACTGTATGATATTATACTCAGAGAATTGTCATTTTCCATCCTCCTATCCTATTCCCACCTCTGTAACCTTGCTATCTCATGCTTATCACTCTCCCTTACTCCCAATAGAGAAACAACTAGTTTTTATTAGTTTCTGGTTATCTTACCTTTTACTTTTTACACAATAGAACAGATACATACGTATTTTTTATATCTCCTTTGTTACTCTAAAGGTAGTGTACTGTATATGCTCTTTTGCACTTTCTTTTTTGCTTAATATAAAATAACCAATTTACGTCAGTTCTAGAGAGCTTCCTTAGTTTTTATATTTTTCTGGCTGGATTTAATTTTATTTATTTTAATATTTTCCATTATGTGATAATACAGAAAAGAAAAAAAGAGGAAAGAAATAATTTATAGTGTCACCATCTAGCGATAAATTCCATTTATAGTTTGTAACATTTCTTCCCAGTACTTTTAGTGTTTTTGGCACTTTTCACACTTTTAAAATTTCAAAGTTTATTTTATATTAAACTTGAAATTCTTGGGCTTCCCTTGAATACTAGAATATGCAAATGTATGAGCATGATACCACATGAACACAAGGTTAAAGATTTCATGACTGAAAGAGAACACCAGTTTGAATTAAAGGAAATATATTCCTTTTCTTAGGAAAAGTATAAAGAAGAACAAAAACATCGAAGTTTATTGAGTTTAAGGATGATAATAATATAGTATAATTTATTGAATTAGAAGTCCAAAAAATTTATAAAATTAATATAAATGCAAATTATAAAGATAATGTTTTAATTTTGCAAATGGAGAAAAATATGAAGATAGAAAATCATTATCCAGAATCTTACCTAGAAGTAGTCACAGCTTATAGTGGTCTTTTATTTTTCTTAAATTTTTTATTTTTAAAGTATACCTTAATGGAAAGTCATAAAAATAGTTGAGAGGTCCTGTGTCTCCTTTGCCCAGATTCTCTTAATATCTGTAACTGTTCACAATATCAAAAACAGGAAACTGACATCGACATTGGTAAAGATCTTATTTAAATTTCATCTCTTTGTATGTATGTGTGTATGTGTGTGTTTAGTTCTGTGCAGTTCTGTCACGTGTATATATTCAAGGAACCACCATCACAATTAAGATACATCACAAATAAATTATATTACCAACATGGAACTCCCTCGTGGTATCATCACTTTGTAGTCACATCTCTTCCACCGTGTCTCTAATTCCTGATTCTCATCAGTTTTCTATATAATTGTATCATTGGGAGAATGTTATAATAATGTAATCATATATGTAACCTGTTGAGATTAATTTTTGTCACCTAGCATAATGTGTTTGGGATTCATCCAGGATGCTGTGTGTGCTAAGTAGTTTGCTCATATTTAGTGCTGAGTAGTTTTCCTTTGTATGGATTTACCACAGTTGGTTTAACTATTCATACATTTAAGAGTATTTGGTTGTTTAAGATTTATAGCTATTACAGATAAAGTTGCTATTGACATTTGTATGTAAATTTTGTGTGGACGTAAGTTTTTATTTTTCATTATAAATTCCCAGGAGTGCCATTGGTGGGCCATATGGCAAATATATGTACAATTGCAAATCTATTTTCCAGAGTGACTGTACCATTTTATATACCCACCAATATATGAGCGATCCAATTTCTCTCTGCATCTTCACTAGCATTTGGTATTATCTCTAATTTTTATTTTAGCCATTCTAATAGGTGGTTAGTGATATCTCCTTGTAGTTTTAATTTGCATTTCCTTAACGGATAATGATGTATATCTTGACATCTGTTTATTTGCCATCTATACATCCTTGCCATTGGTATGTCTCTTGAAGTCTTTTTTTGCCCTTTCTTGTTGGATTATTTTTTTTTTACTGTTGAGTTTTGAGATACACACACATGTGCACACACGTGCATGCACACACACACACTGGATAATACTTTTTCTCAGTTTTGTGGTCTGTAAATATTTTCTTTCAATCCGTAGCTTATATTTTCATCCTCTTCACAAGGGCTTTCACAGAGTAAACACTTTAAGCCAACTCAAAGAGCCCTTTGCCTAGCCTTAGATCACCAAATTTTCTCTCATGTGTTTTCTAAATATCCCATATTTAGAGTTAATTTTTAAATAAGTTGTGAGATTTAGGTCAAGATTTTATTTTTGTCTATGATGTTGTATTAGTCAGGGTTCTCCAGAGTAACAGAACCAATAGTGTGTGTGTAATTTATTTACAGAGAAAGGGAGTGATTTATTTTAAGAAATTAGTGGAGGCTGGCAAGTCCAAAATAAGTAGGGCAGGGGGCAGGCAGGCAGACTGGAAATTCAGGTAAGAGTTGATGCTTCAGTCTTGAGTCTCAATTCTGTAGAATAGCAGATTGAAAGCTTAGGCAGGGTTTCTATGTTTCAGTCAGGAGGAAAATTCTTTCTTTGGAGAAACCTCAGTCTTTGCTCTTAAAGCCTTCCTTCATCTGATTGGATGAAGCCTACCTACATTATGGAAGGTAATTTGTTTTACTCAAAGAATACCGATTTAAATGTTAATCACATCTAAAAAATATCTTCACAGGAAAATCTGGACCAGTGTTTGACTAAACAGCTGTGCACAATAGACTACCCAAGTTAACACATATAATTAACCATCACAGATGTGTAATTGCTCTAGCACCATTTGTGGAAAAGATTATCCTTTATTACATTGCTTTGCACTTAAAAAAAAAAAACCAGAAGATTATTTTTGTATGGGTCTACTTCTGGGGTTTTATACACTACTTTATTTGTGTCCAGTATCACACTGTTGATTACTTTAGCTGTATAGGAAGGCTTAATATTGGGTAGAATGATTCCTTCCATTTTATTCTTTTTGTCAAGATTGTTTTAGTTATTCTATAGATTGTGCCTTCCCATATAAATTTTAGAATGAACTGATCTTTCCTTATAAGTAACCTCGTTGGGATTTTGATAGGAAGTACATTAAACCTAGATCAATTTGTAGAGGATTGACATCTTTATTATGTTGAAACTTCCAACCCATGAACATTGTATATTTCTCCACTTGTTAAAGTTTTCGATTATGTTCATCATCATTTTGTAATCTTCAAAAACCAATTCTGTGCATGA